TCAGGGGATCTCGTAGTCGAGCAGTCTCGACTAGAGCTTTCTTACTTGTTAATATACTACTTTAAACTCTATTCGGGATGTGTGTGTCACTCTTAGTCGTATTTTGCCTGTTTCAAATAAGCCACATTGGTTTACTAAGACTCTTTTGAGCTTAAGAAACACTAAAACTAAATGTTTTAAAAATTACAAAAACTTTGCTTCAAATGTTGACTGGTCTAAATATTCCATAGCCAACTTTAATTTTAGTCTTTTAAATTCTCGTTATGATAATTATGTTATACGTTGCAAACGTCAGTTTGCTTGAGATCCTAAACAATTTTACTCATTTGTAAACTTCTACTTTGTCGTCCTCATTTGTCCTTGGCGCTGATAAAACTTGCAATGATCAGGAGTCCTCTGATGTATTTGCTGATTTTTTGAATCTACTCAACTCATATCCATATTTACTCCCTGAATTTGGTTCTCTTAATGCTCATAAGATCACTGCAGTCTCCGAGGCTGCAGCCATTAGGACGATGAAATCTTCTTTTTCTCCTGGTTCCGATAATATTCCAAGATCAAAGAGTGCAGTGTTTCTCTTCAGTCACCATTACTGAAATTTTTTAATGTGTTTTTGGAAACTTCTGTGTTCTCTTCAATTCGGAAAGAGTCATTCCCCTATATAAAAAAGGTGGAAAATCTGATATTTATAATTACAGAGGCATTGCAAAATTATTTGATATTCTGAAACTTATCTTAGTTTCGTCTGGTGTACCTCAGGGTAGCCATTTGGGTCTATTAGTCTTTTCCCTTGTTATACCCGAACCTATTGAAAATGGGAAATCAGGGTATAATTACACTCTGAGCCCATTGAAAATGGGAAATCAGGGTATAATGGTTTTGTTAAAATGTATGTAACACGCATGAGGAGGCGTGGTAGACCTCACAAAGTATATTTTCTTAATCAGGGCGACGAGTTGAGTCGATTTGGCCCTATCTGTCTGTCCGCCCGTCGGTATGTATGAACTCGTCGATCTCAGAAGATATTAGAGCTAGAGACTTGAAATGTTTTTCCTAGGTCCGGGTATATCATGCGCATATCGAATTTATTACTAAAAATCGATAACTACTGCCGATATTTTATTATCGATCAAAATCCTTTTCGAAAGCTAGTCAATTAATTATATCTGTTACACCTTTAAAGCTAGAGCTCCAAATTTTAAATGTAGACTTCTGTGTATTTTATATAATTTCCGTTTTTGTTGTAATTTGCTCCACCCCTATATTCACCCCTTTACCCTCACCTTTGTATAAGGCTTATTTCAAGTACCAGAGACTTTGGACTATACATATGGACATTTGAACATTATTGAGTTCTGAAAGTTTCATTAATATTGTATTTCTAGAACTTAAATTATTCAACAAATAAATTCTTATAATATTGCCCATTTCGCAGCGCCGAACAATCGTAGTCGCTGATTACTGCGTAGTTAGCAGAGCGCGCACTAACACGTGCGTGTGTATGTATGTGTGCATAAAAGAAATGCAGAGTGATTAAAATATCAGATTGGAGGGTTCAGGGTATCTCCTAGTCCTAGTTCTTACTTGTTCATTACGAATTTTTACCTTAAGAATTATATATATAAGCTATTTTTTGTCAATATCTTTAAATAAATAAATAAAACTAAAATGTATGTAACACGCATGAGGAGGCGTGGTAGACCTCACAAAGTATATTTTCTTAATCAGGGCGACGAGTTGAGTCGATTTGGCCCTATCTGTCTGTCCGCCCGTCGGTATGTATGAACTCGTCGATCTCAGAAGATATTAGAGCTAGAGACTTGAAATGTTTTTCCTAGGTCCGGGTATATCATGCGCATATCGAATTTATTACTAAAAATCGATAACTACTGCCGATATTTTATTATCGATCAAAATCCTTTTCGAAAGCTAGTCAATTAATTATATCTGTTACACCTTTAAAGCTAGAGCTCCAAATTTTAAATGTAGACTTCTGTGTATTTTATATAATTTCCGTTTTTGTTGTAATTTGCTCCACCCCTATATTCACCCCTTTACCCTCACCTTTGTATAAGGCTTATTTCAAGTACCAGAGACTTTGGACTATACATATGGACATTTGAACATTATTGAGTTCTGAAAGTTTCATTAATATTGTATTTCTAGAACTTAAATTATTCAACAAATAAATTCTTATAATATTGCCCATTTCGCAGCGCCGAACAATCGTAGTCGCTGATTACTGCGTAGTTAGCAGAGCGCGCACTAACACGTGCGTGTGTATGTATGTGTGCATAAAAGAAATGCAGAGTGATTAAAATATCAGATTGGAGGGTTCAGGGTATCTCCTAGTCCTAGTTCTTACTTGTTCATTACGAATTTTTACCTTAAGAATTATATATATAAGCTATTTTTTGTCAATATCTTTAAATAAATAAATAAAACTATTAAGAGTAATCATTAGCTGCTGTGCCGAACAAATGCTATGCACTTCAAACAATTTTCAATATATTCTAACACTTTCCTTCTCATAATGGGGAACCAATATGACTTACTAATTGCTTTTAGCATTTTGTCCTTTACAATGTGCCTTAATTCATCGTGATATTTGTACAGCACGAGTTCTTCGGGTACATAAAATAATAATCTGCCATCGTTTGTCTTCCTAAATATGATCGCATTTCTCATTTCAAACAATCTGTTCTCCTGATTTTTTTAAAACAATTTATATATTTTCTTGCAACTTTGCATCTTTTGTTTGGCAAATGATTAAATTAGTTTCAAAACTGTTTGCTTCTGTTACCATAATTGATTTGTTGTATCTACTTAATGCAGCTACGTGTTGCATTTGACTTCCGGCCCTGTGCACTAATTCGTAACAAAATTCTTGCATTTTCAATGCCCATCTTGCAATTCTTAATGGTACTGCCAGAGTTAAAAGATTTCAATCCGTTACTATTTCAAATTTTCTGCCTTGCAGATATATTCGAAATTTCCAGCTCGAAAATCTGATATTTTGCTTCCGTTTCTATCGTTGGCTTTGAAATATAAAATATAGGGTGCAGTGCCAACGTATTGGCATCACAATGCAGTTCGGTGCTCCTAGCAATTTATCCTTCAGACATAGAAAGCAATTGAGTTCCATTTCTTTAAATGTGAATTTCTTATATTTTCGCAATAAGTCATATAAAAGTTTCGTCAAAGTTGAAAAATCTTTTAAAAGTCTTCTAAAGTCAGAACACAACTCGAGAAAACTTTGCATTATTAACTGGACTTTATTAGGTATGGGGTTATTTTTCACCGCTTCTAGTCCCTTTCGTGTGCTTTAATGCCATCTTCTGATATTAAATTCGCATTTATCTAGTCTCAACTCTAATTTGTTTTCTGCTAATCGTTTTAAACCCTCTTCCAGTATCTTGAGATGCTCGGGCACATGTTTGCTAGCAATCATCATATCATCCATATATACGGTTACCTTGCTTTCCCTTATTAAATCTGCAAAGATACCATTACCAAATCTCTGAAAAACTTGCGAAGCAGTTTTGAATCCCATTGGCATTCTCAAGAGCTCGAACTGTCCTAACGGCGTAACAAATGATGTGTATTTAACGGAATCTTTCTCTAAGAAACCATGAAAATATCCATTCTTAAGGTCAAGCTTAGTGAAAACAGACTTTCCACCAGCCTGTCCAGCAAATCGTCAATCAAAGGCAAAGGATAATTATGTTTGATAATGATCTTGTTGAGTTTTCTAAAATCAATACACATTCTCAGGTCTCCGTTTTTTTTTTACCAACACTATAGGCGAAGCATTTTCTGAGCAGGTAGGTTGTATAATGCCACACACACTTAGAAAAAAGTGTCAGAGTTCGTTCGCGCGCGGAAAACAACCGTTTAAATTTTGTCAACTTTGTTCTGATTGATCCCCGACCGTTTAGTTGAGTGAAATAAAAATTAAAGTCTTTTATGTATGTATGTATGTGAGTAAACGT